CCCAGCCTGAGAGGCCCCGTCTCCTGTCAGCTCTAGGCCCGCACCCTGCACTCTCAGCTCGCCCAGCCTGAGAGGCCCTGTCTCCTGTCAGCTCTAGGTCCGCACCATGCACTCTCATCTGGTCCCTGCTGGATGGGGTTTTTGACAAAATTGTGCATCTTAACAGCTGGGACTCTGCTCTAGGAAGCACTACTTTTTAGTCTATCCATTTACTCTACCCAAGGACTGTGCTCCAAACAATTGACCCCAAATCCCCAAAGCAGCCAACAAATCCTAAAACCCTGTGCTCAAAATGCTCTTGAAGATGAAAAATTAAAAAGTCATCTGAAAATTATTCAGTGCTTCTTATTGTCTTCTATAAATGATTCAAGCTAATCTGCCTGCTGTTCTCAATATTTCAAGCAGCAAGGCTTATGTGAATTTAGACTTAATTCTTCAGCCAAATACCTTCAGTGTTTCTTTTCTTTTTTCACAATTTAACCCTCAACATTTTTCTCTCTTATACATTTAATAGGACAAAAGGCTAGGGAAACTTTCAGTTTGTCTCAGAAGAGAAACTATTCTTACAAAAAAACTGCAGCAGACAACGCTCTCTGGCCAGGGCTCTGTGGCAGCTCCAGAAAGCTCCTCGCCTCAGGGCCGCATTCTCTCAGTGACTGCCTGCCTTTCCTCGGCCAGCCACCAGGGGAAGGCCCTGCACAAGATTTGCTGATCTGTGGGCTCGGGATGGCCTGAAGCCAGGACACCGGGCACTTTCCATGAACCACTCAGCTCTGCGATTTCGTTTTCCTGATGGAGACTTACGCAGACTGTGACACACACAGAGAACCAAGGAAAACGCCAGGCGAGCCACGACGCTCGCCTGTGAAGACGCAAAGGTTAAGGCAGGAAAAGGGAATAGAGTCTAGGGGATGAAGAAATGTCTGTTAAAAGAGAAGGAGAGGGGAGGGCCAGGCTGCCCAGCACTGTTTCAAGCCACATTCCTTTCCGTGGACTGACTGATGGAAACATGCGTGTGTATATATATTTCCATTTCATAAGACTCCAGGAATGCCACCGCCCATCTTATCCAAGCCCCTGGTTTTGCAAAAGAGGAAGCTGTGCGACTTCCTGGAGGTCACAAAGCTGGTTGGTAGAGTCAGAACCAAATGTTCTGTGCAGTCAAGTCCTCTTAAGAGTCTCACAGGTTAAATCACCCTCGCTGCCAAACGCAAATTTCTTTCAAAACAAAGGTCAGTTTTCTAAAACTCACAAGAAATACTTTATTATTGCTTTCTAGTTTCACATCAGGCGTCCTGGGTGGATCAAACAGTTAAGCACTCAACTACCAGCCAAAAGGTTGGTGGTTTAAACCTACCCAGAGGCTCCTCGGAAGACTGGCCTTGCAATCTACTTCCAAAAGATCACAGCCTTGAAAATCCTATGGCGGGCAGTTCTACTCTCCACACACGGCATGGCCATGAATCAGAACCGACTCGACGGCAGCTAACAACAAGAGTTTCACGTCGCATTACCCAACTTACTCAGTAGCATCATGGAATCTAAAGATACCCGCTGTTGTTTTGCCAGTGTTGACTGCTGCAGAGACATCAGGTTAAAACTAATTCTGATTCCACCAACCAGAAAGCAAGTTAAGTAAAAACCTCCCTGTGGGATAATCAGTGTTTCCTTCTCATTTGCATGGTTGAGATCAGACATGCGCTGAGGCGTAGCGATACTGCACTATCTACTTATTCAGAAATGGATCGTCCAGTTGATATTCCTCCCATGTAAGTTATTATTTTGTGTTAACAATACAATTCTGAGAAGAACCACTCACTCTGAGATGACAAGCTTTGTGGTTTAAACTGTCACATTTATTAACCATATGTAAATCTTTAATTACGAAATTACAGACCAAAAACTTCTAGGCTGCTATCAACTAAAACTCTAGGCACCACCAATCTGTAGAAACCAAGACTAAATTACTTAACTTGCCCATGGATTGTTACAATGGCCTTCAAGTACGGTTTCTTACTCTTTAAATAAGGAATGGTAAATCCTAAGCAAGTACATTACAACCACCTCATCCTGCTCTTGGAGCCCTGGTGGCACAGTGGTTAAGAGCTTGGCTACTAACCAAACCAGTGGCAGTTCGACTTCACCAGCTGCTCCTTGGAAACTCTATGGGCAGTTCTACTCTGTCCCATAAGGTCACTAGGAGTTGGAATTGATTTAATGGCAATGGGCTTTTTTTTTTTTTTTTTTAAGTCCTGTTCTAAGAATCCAGGGGTGGTGCAAACGGCTGCTAGCGAAAATGCTGGAGGTTCAAGTCCACCTAGAAGCACCTCAGAAGAAAGGCCTGGCAATCTACTTCAGAAAAATCAGTCATTGAAAACCCTATGGGGCCCAGTTCTACAGTGACATACATGGGGTCGCCATGAGTGGGAGTAAACTCCATGGTGACTGGTAATCCCGTTCTCATGGCAAACATCACTAATCAATTCAGGACACGTTGATGGCGCCTCAAAATCTTTTTCAATCTAGCTCCACAGAGAACTACTACAAATCAATCAAAACAGGTGTCAGAGAAGAAGCAATTGCTCCCCCTGGTCTCTCCACTCTGCAAGTCATTGAACACGTTCCTGTGACTTCGCCACTCCAAACTGACTGAGCACTGGCCTGCAAACATTTTTTAAAAATCTTCACAAATTGTAAGGCTTTTTAGGAAACTAATAGGGACTATACATTGTTAATAACATTCTAAGTCAATGTGCCTCTTATGAAAACGAAATTACAAACTATAACAAGGCACCAAGACTCAAGAATTCCATCCTAAGAATACAGTTAAAGAAGGAAAAAATGAGCACAAAAAAGTTCATTGTAGTATTATTTATAAAAAATTTAAATGGTCTAAATAAATAAACTATGAATTATGGCATCTACAGTAACCTTTTAAAATTTCATTTCCTTCCTATCAAACTGTTGAAGAGGCAGGGTATGATCTATGCAGACTACAGGCTGCTGAAAGGACCCTGAGCATCATCCTGTTTGGGAGGAAGGCGCTCCAGGCAATGCCCCATCTCTCTCCGGCCTGGGAATCAGAAACATCCCACATGGCAAGGATTTCTGCATTTATTTGTCTATTTGTTTAATTTATTCATCCATTTATTCATTTAAATGTTTAGACTTTAATACTTCTAAAAAGTCTTAAGTGTCTTAAGCATTCACGAGGAGTTAGGAAATTTAGGAGGGTCTGAACAGGTCAGCCAGACCTTGTGGGATGAGAGAAACAAAATAAGGAGAGAAAATAGGCAGAATCACGGGATGGTTTGGCTTCTTCTGACCTCAAAAGTGAGAGAAGCCAAGAGCACTGGAGGAACCTGACCAAGTAGAGTAAAGGTCTCCATCAAGGCACCCTGAACACACTCCACCCACCTTCTTGAATGAGGATGGCCTTGTACGGAGAAAACCACCGCAAACAAGTGAGCAGAAAGGAGAGGCGGGGCCACACGTGGCCGGGTAGCTCCACTCCGGGAGAAGATGAAGGGAGAAACGTCTGGATGAAGCGTGCTGTGGATGAGATGAGGCCATGGAGAATTTAAGCTTCTATCAGGGCTTACTTGAGCCAGCAGCTGGAGGGCGCCCTGGCCCACTGCTTCTTCCCAGGCCGAAGGCAAAGAGCCAAGCCTCACTCTCCTGGCGCCCTGAATACCTACCAAACAAGGGCTCAGAGATTTAATGGGCTCACATGCCTCTGTGCTCTAAATAACATCCCTGTGCATCCCAGGCACTTAACTTTTTGATAGTTACTTCAGCACTGAAGAGAAAAGGGGTCGATATTTATAAATCACAGTGACCACTACAAAAAAAAAAAAAGTATCTTAACAGCAGAAAACATTACTAAACTCAAGTCCATAATATGCTTGTTTTATTACCGCCTGTTCCACAAGACTTCCTCCGGCTGCAGTAGAGAATTCCATCCATGCAGCTTAAATCTCAGCCTTTACAATAAGGTCCAGGAAAATCTGAGATGGCAGTGCAAGAAAATCCAAATCTAGGCATCTTGCTGTATTTAGGAAATTACACCACAAGATTATCTGAGGAAAACAATATAAACAAAAGGCTTCTGGCCAGGCACGGAAACAATACGGCCGTTCTTTCATTTATGGTCATTTCCAAACACGTCAAGGCCGTGTGTTATAACAAACGTCTTCGAATCCATTTACAAAGGGAAACTAACTACGTTTATGATAAAAATGGAACTTAACTGTCTTAAAAAAGAAAAGAAAAAAAGCCGGGTTCTGAGTCTGAGAGCCACTAGACTTTGTTTTTTCTATCTCTTGGGGAAAAACTGCTTCCACACCTAATCTTAAACCTAGAAAGAGCATAAATGAATTTAAGTATTTAGATTAATGCCTATGGGTATTAATGGACATAGCTTGGAAATGTCCACAATTCTCTAAACGTAAGCAAAACATCCAAAGCCCACACACAGAGAATAAAGTGCCATGTTTGGAGAGATATAAAAAATGCACCATGAGAAATGGAAAAAAAAAAGAATCCTACTAGAAAATACGAAGCAATAAGCAGAAGTGAGGAGCATGAAAGCCCCAAGGAAGGGGTGACTGAATGTCTCAAAGGGGAAGGCACATAAGTATTGGCACGTACATTATCTCATTTGGTCTGCGTAACAGCCCTCTGTAAGGGGATACACAGTCAGCATTATGCACATCTTCCAGGTGAGGAAACTGTGGGTCTACCAGTTTACGTGAACTGCCCAAGGCCTTGTAACCAGTAACAGTCCAGACTCAGACTTTGCTTCTCCATATCCAGTGGTCTGCTCACCAGTCAAATGACCCATCTCCAGAAGGCAAGCAAGCACACGTTCATTCGTTTACTCGGTGTACGTGCAGTCAGCAATATGCTAAGGACACAGGAATAAAAAGACTAAAACCTGATACATGCAATCAGAACGCTTACAAATCAGACTTAAACTTTACAAAGGTGTCAAAGGCAGAAAGGGCAGAGTGACAGTGATTGAAACAATTGCACGGGCAGTCCCCATTGTATCAACTGGATTGCAGATGACTGTGTTCAGAAAGTCCATTTGCTGGCTAATCATTGGAAACTGGAAAATGCATTTTTCCACTGAAACAATGCTATAAATAAACAATTATTTCCTAAGCCTGCCACTGAACTACGGTCACTACAATGGAACATGATATCCATTTCTAACGCTGTTTCAATAGGAAAACTTGCTGTAATTTCAAACTGAGGATTTCAGTCAGTGCAAACCAGACTCCCCAGACCCTTAATACAAGCAGAATGTCTCAGGGTGTAAGGAGGTCTTTGGTGGACAAATAGTCTAGTAGATTTGGACTCCAGTGATATGGCCAATAGTATAAGACTTTCATGGCAGCGGGGTGGGAAAAATAAGAATATTGACAATGATAATAGTTAACATTTCTGGAGCACACAGAAAGTTTCAAGCACCAAACTAGGCACTTACTATGGAAAGGTATCAGATATCGTCTCTTCAGGAGCCCCTGGGTAACGCAAGTGGTTAAGCACTTGACTACCAACCGAAAGGCTGGGGACTCGAACCCACTGAGAGGCACCTCGGAAGACAGGCCTGATGACCTGCTTCCAAAAGGTCACAGCCTTGAAAACCCTATGGAACACAGTTCCACTCTGCACACATGGGGTTGCCATGAGCTGGAATTGACTGGATAGCCAGTGACAACATTCTCTCTTCAAGTATTGTTTCTGCTCCATTATCTCTCGTCTGTTCCTCTGGGATTCCAATTATGCGCATGTCGAACTTTTTCACCTTCTCATATATATCTCTTACATTCTTTTATTTTCTTCTTTTTTTTTTTTTGTCTCTCTGAGTTTCTATTTAGAGATTTTCTTATGATTTATCTTCCATTTCTCTCTTCAGACACTATTCAAACCCATTTATTGATTTCCCAATATCAGTTATTGTATTTTTCCTGCTGTAAAATTTTCATTTGATTCACTTCTATAGTTTTCAATTCCTTACCAAATTTTTAAATCGTGACTTTTATGTCCTTGAACATATTGAACACAGATGTTTTAAAGTCCATGTCTGATAATTCCATTATCTAGATCCTCTGTGGGGCCGTTTCTCATTGTTGTTTCTCTTGGTTTTCAGTCAAGTTGCCTCCTCTCCTCGTATCTGGTGATTTTTGACTGGGTGCCAAACATTGTATCTGAAAAAGTAAGCGGTCACTTAAGGCTCCAGATGATGTTATCTTCCTCCAGGAAGCATTAACCTTTGTTAACTAGTTAGGGGCACTAGTAATCCTAGGTCGCTTCAGTTGGAGATTTGAGTCTAGGTCCCCTAAGGTTCCATCTATTACTCCTAGGGTGTAGATCTTTGACTTCCTGACAGAGCATGGCAAGGGAGTGTCACCAGATACCCCCTCCCATGGAAGGCTCCCAACCAATTTTTGCCCTTAGTTTTAGGAATCTATTTAAAAACTGCAATCATCTTCTCAGCCTCCCATTTTGAAAATTACAGTTACATTATGGGTAAAGTGATTCCAAATCAGGGTATACCTCCCTGGGTTTGCTTCTCCTGGATCTTGGCCTTGTAATTGTTCCATTCTCCTAGTTGTTCTCAGCAGGAGTGTTGACTAAATTATCAGAAATGAAAGTCTCGTGACCTCTTCTTACCTTCTCTAGATGTAGATTATCCCATTTAATCCTTGAAAGAAGAATTAAGTACCTAGGAGGCCACCAAAAAACCCAAACCCACAGCAACTCATAGTGACCCTATAGGACAGAGCAGAACTGCCGCATAGGGTTTCCAGGGAGTGGCTGGTGGATTTGAACTGCTGACCTCTTGGTTAGCAGATGACCACTTAACCACTGCACCTAGGACGCAGGTACTATAATTATCTCCACTTTAAAATTGAGGAAGTAAATATTTAGAGATTCAAGGCCCAGCAATCCGACAAAACAGCACCCGCTCTTAACAGTAGTGAGGGCATTGGTGGTTCAGAGGTAGAATTTTCACCTTTTGTGCGGGAGAGCCAGGTTTGATTCCAGGCCAATGCACCTCATGCACAGCCACCACCCATCTGTCAGTCATGATGCTGAACAGGCTTCAGCAGAGCTTCCAGACTAAGACAGACTAGGAAGAAAGGCCTGGCGATCTACTTCTGAAAATCAGCCAATGAAAACCCTATGGATTACAACGGTCTGATCCCTAGTTGATCATGGGGATGGCCCAGGACTGTCAGCATTCCATTCTGTTGCATATGGGGCTGCATGAGTCAGGGGATGACCCAGCAGCAGCTAACAGCACAACAACTTAGAGCAGTAATAGTGGCAAGAGAAGAACAGAGAGCAAGGATGGAGGGTGCACAGGGATCTGCCTCAGGAAGACATGGGAACGCTACTGAAGGGGAGGCCTGTTGGAGGAGGGAAAGGAGAAATGGGAAAGCGTCTCATGAGTACCAAAGCTAGGGCCTACCCCAGGTCTTCTCTGACTCCTTGATGAATGTTTAAAAACAACACATGGTTCTAGGACACCATCTACCCCAAAGACCTTGGGTCTAGGTTCAGGTCTGAGAAAATAAATATTTACAGATTCAAGGCCCAGCAATCTGACAAAATAGCACCCTCTCTTACAGTAACAGGGGCAGTGGTGGGTCAGTGGTAGAACTCTCACCTTCCATGCAGGAGACCCAGGTTCGATTCTTGGCCAATGCGCCTCATGCACAGAAAGTTCCCAGGTGAACTACACTTTGAGAACCACTGGTTTAAACCAACGGTTATTCACCCTGGCTGCTTATCACCTGGAAGACAAAGCTCTCCCCCCGCTTCCTCAATGGTATACCACTGTATAAATACTGCCCTGTACATAATTTATTTAATTCTTACAAAAATTTTCTACTGGTGAATATTAGCATCAGTATTTCAGATGATGAAATGAGAGCCTAGAAGGTTAAACTGACTTGTCCAAGAACGGGAGTGTCAAAGTCAGGTCTCCATCCAGACCTCTGACTCGCAGATGAACGCTCGAACAGCTGGTCTTGGTCCTGGGATAATCATCCACCCCAAAGAAACTGTTTCTAGCAAGAAAATACTTATAATATTAAGAACATAGTTCCCTTCCTACTCTTGTTAAATGTATTTGCCTCTCATTACTCCAGAGTTGGCTGATCTGGAGGAATTCTCGCTCAGCCGTCTTTCAGTCGTTCAGTCTCTGGCCGCAATCCTGGGGTAGCTTTTCCACCTGCTGATGGCGAAGGAACTGTCACTGCTGAGTTCTTTCTAGGAAAAGCTGGAATCACTGGAGTATTGGGGGCGAGGAAAGTCAAGTGCCGGAGACTCCATCTCTGTCCTCGTCCCAGCTCTAAAGAGAACCTCCTTGTCACCGTCTCTCCTCATCCCTGACTTTCCAGATACGTTAAAGACGGGAAGAAGGACAACAACTTCTAAATGAGGAAGAAGAGCAAGTTCCCTAACTCCTTCACTTCTGTTTTTCTTATAATAGCTCTCACTGCTTCTTAGCATGTTCAGGGAGCAGTCTGTCCCAATGTACAAACTCTGTGTAGCTAAGCAGAAATTTCAGTTTATCTAATGAGTCTTAGAAGGTGTGACCTTAACTGTTTAAAAAAAAAAGTGTTTTTTTCTTAAGTTGCACTTCCTGCCAAAGGAACCAACTGTTCCTTTGCCACCTTTCTTTCTT